CTCTTTCCCCAAGTGCCTTGTGTCTGACAAAGGCATACTTTTTCTTAAAAACACATCTGGTCTGGCTTTGAGGACGCCAGAAGATGGGGTGTCCCCTTCTGGTCCTAAGAGAGAACTGCACTACTGGCAAAATCTCAAAAGAAACGCTGAAGAGGATTTACATGTGAAATGCTGATTCTGCAGCAGAAATGCCCACGGTGAGGTATCTGGATCAGGATGTGATTTTCTCCAAACTTATCAGTGCTTTTATCTCAAGCTGCCCTTAAAACCATCTCTCCACCTCTCTTTAGTACATGCCACTAAAACTCCACCTTTCCCATAATGTTAAAACCCTCCAAGACCTAGTTAAAGACTGGTTGTTCAAGTGTGAGGTCAAGCCCGAGTGCTGGGGTTGCAGAAGTCAGAGCAGAGCCAACTCCTCACATGGGGATGACAGTGATGACTGTGATTATTTCTGTGGAGTTGGTGCTGGCAGGAGGGACACAGACTGTTGATATTTCAGCACAGAGGCTAAAATACCTGCAATCCTGAAAACGCGGAAGAGCACCATGATGTTCTAGCATGCTGGACTCTACCTTCCAGCAGTTACAGGCATGTCACATACAGAAGGAAGAGCTACACGAATGTCACCAGCCACAAAGCTAACATTCTATCTGACTTTTTAGCCACTTAGTCTGCGACTCACCTAACTCAGTAAGCATTTGGTCCTTACATGGAGAACATGCCTTAAGTTCACAAGCATATCCCCTGTCACTGCTACAAACATGGGAAACAAAGCAGGCCCTTCTGAACCTCTTGCGACCACAAATGGACCTTATGGCCAGCTTTCTCACTCAAATACCTATCTGAAGACATTAAAGTGCCACAGGGTTCACTATCCAGAACGTGGGCAAGACACGCACTACGCACTCACCACGCTCATCAGCCCCAGACTCAAATTCTGTGTGTGAGGTGCTGGGAAGGCATAGCTGGGCGTAGTGTCTCCTTGTGTCAGTCTCTAGCTCAAGCCAGCGGCTTGTTCAGAGTGAAGGGGAGAGGCTCAGGGCACATTATCTTCCTGACCCCATGAGCCACAAATCAAAGTCTTTACAAGGCGAAGAGCCACAAAACACATACACTGTACCGCAGAGGACAAGGGGAAAGGAAGCTCTGGGAGGAAACTTTAAGCGGTAGACAACAGCAGCTCCCCAGGTTGTGTTTTGTGAGAAAGGGTTGAGGCTGAGCATGCAGCTGGGTGCTCAGACACCTCAGCAATGTCAGATGAGAGCCTGTGCTGGCTGGCTTCCTCTCACACCTGGGGATTCGTGTCACTCAGCAGCTCCTGTGACAGCCCAGCCCGGCTGCTGGCCACGTGGCAGAGACTTGGCACGGGAACCATGCAAGAACTGGTGCTGTAAGTGCTGGAGCAAGGAGGCTTGTGCTGCTCCAAAGGCTCAGAAATAGCAGTGGTTGTTAAACGTGGCTGACGGTTAACCAATTCCCATGCTAATTCCCCTGCTCAGCAGCCTTCCTTTCTGTTGTTGTGGTCACAACAAAATAACATTGATATGAACACACAACTGAGACAAACATACAAGGGGATTGATTCTATGAAGCTGCTCTGGAGCAGATTCTATATCCCCTCCTTGGAAGGTCATACCCCAAGGCAGGATCTGCCCTGAAACCCGCAGTACGCAGGGTCTGTAACATGCACATGAACCCTCAAAAACTCCAAAGAAGTCAGTGGGACTGCACAAATTTTAAACAAGTGTGAAAGGATAAGTAGGCTCCCACTGTGTAGTGAGCCAAAATGCATTATACAAACAGTTTGATCCTGCTCTCACATCAATTTTGCATCATTCCCGCTCATGGTTTTCAGTAGTTCCTCTCAGCTGACATTCATGCAAGTGTTGAAACAAAAATAATGCTTATAGTATCTTTTCTCAGTCAGTTGTTTCTCTAGAGCAGAATTTGTACCGGTGCAGGGACCAGTCCCATGTTTCTGTTCTAGACATATTCTGAGCACTGAAATGCAGTGTAAAAAGATTGCATGTGGTATGCACAGGTCACTGCAATGCAATGCCTTTCACCTTTAGTTCCAAAGCCCCCCCGTAGCAAACTGCATGGGAAGTGAATGATATTAAAAGAAGATTACCCCTTCACTGGTTTTCTGCAAATCTGAGGAAGTGTTTCTTGTGTCATTGCCTGCGTCCCCAGCATCAGAGCTGCTCTTATTTTCTTCCTCTTTGCAGTCCTTATCATCTTCATCTCCAGGAGATTTCCGTGACTGCTTGGAGGATTTCTAAAATGATCAACAACAAAGTTAAAAAGTAAAAACTGAGCTTCAGTCATAGAAAGACACTTTTGCAATGTATGTGGAATGCTGTCTGATCATGCGGTTCCCTGTTCAAGGTGAATATTGGGGAGGATATGTGGGGTGAAAAGCGTTTTTCAGGTGAAGTAGTTGGAGTTACTGCCATTGATGAAGCAAAAGGAGAAATTCTGTGTTCCACACAGGTTGGCAGCACAATTGGCTGTAAGACAGACACAGTAACAGGAGATGGGTATTAGTGCTGGGTCACCTGTAGGTTTTGTTAGTTAATGAAACAGATGGTGCCAGCTTGACAAAAGTTTTGATTAAACACAGAGATGTAAAATGAGAATAACATTAGCAGAGCTGCTTTCCATACTTTTTTTAGTGCTGTCAGCTTTAATATATCAACATTAAAGCCATGTGGAACCAATACATCTTTTCTGCTCCCTTTATGTTATGCAATTCTACAGTACAAAAGGATAAATTGTGGCATTAAGCCACCATTTTCCTAATCCTCTGTTTGCCCAGAGTCTTCTGGAAAGAAGATGGTAGACCAGACCTGAATTTCTAATGCAAAACACACAAAGGGGGTGAAATTACTTAATACATTTTGTTCAGTGGATGAACCACGAAAATTCCCACTCTCCTCCAAACTGGGCTTGGATTGTTTGCCTGTTTCTTCTCACTTCATTTAGCTTTCACTTTCAGAGAAGAATAACATGAATGTGAATGAACGTGACTCTGCCACACTTTCCACAATTTTTTAAGCAAAGTACAGACCTGGAGGCACACACAGAACCAGAGGAAGTGACTAAAATGTTGCTCCGTTTCACCCAGATGACAAGTGAGAAGTGTACCTGAACCCAAAGCTGTCACTACGCAGGTGATTATGTCCACCAGCCATTATGAGACAGTCTGAGACATGCTACTCTTAGCTTCCTCATCCACACTGTTACTTAGGTATTAACAGGGCGGGTAGGTACTACAATGTAGGTCTTTTATCTACAAATTGAGTGCCCTACTCCCTGTTTAATGAATTAGTTCTTCCTCCCTCCCATTCTGTATCCTGTACTGAAGTATTTTACAGTCAGCTACAACAGGAGCACCTGTGCACATCTGACCCTGTTGTATCTTTTAGCATGGCATCTGGGGCACTCACATGGGAGACAGGAGAGGGAAGCTTGAATTCTCCCAGACAGGAACCAAACCTGAACTCACGTCTCCCAGGAGGCACACTCCTAAGGGTTTTTTTTTGCTCTTCATGGGAAAATACCTATCTAAGGTGATCAAATCTATCAATCCATCTTTGCATGGATTTTCTTTCCAGTCCTTCTGAACTCCTTCCCATACTTTCAGCTCCTTCTCAAAGTGTGGGCACTAGGACAGGGCAGAATATTTCAACTGCTGTCTTACCAAGGCTGTCTACAAAAGCAAAAGCACTTCCCTTTGCCTGTTTGAACACCATCACTATGGTACTGGAATCAAAATGCTAAAGAAGGAAGAACAGATTGCCATGAGGTGGACAGTATTCTAATTATAAATGCACATGGGCAATAATGGAATAACTCAGAAGATAACCTTTGCAGTGTAGGATTTTTTCCGTTTTGAGCCTGCTTTTTCATTCTTTCTTTTTCCTTTTCCATCCTCTTCTACCCGATCACCTTCCTCCTCACTGCTGGCATCTGCTGTATTTCCTCCTTCTCCTTCAGTTTCTGATGAGCTCTGTTGCTGAATTGCCTTTAAAATAACAATAATAACATAAACAACAAAAATATCATTAAAATCTATTACTTAATTTTTGTTCTGTATTGAAGATAGAAATACTGGTAACAGCTTACACTTTAATTGCTACAGTCAGGAAGAGCTCAGGTTATTCTTGCAATTATCAAGAAAAAGGGCTCCAAAGGCCATTTTCTCAGTCACCATTTGAAAACAGTTATCAGATGCAGATTCTGGGATAGCATGTTCTGAAGGGTTTACACAGAAACAGAAGATCCTATAACAAAAATGTGTTTGCCAGACAACTAAGGGTTGCTCAATGGAGAGACCTGGCATGTTCTACTTTGGGCAAAACTATGGAAACTTTGGAGACTTTGGCTGCAACAGGAGAGACTTACTCAGGAGAGAAGACGGCTGTTACAAACCCCCCAAAGGGCAAGATCTCTGTGTTAGGAAAAAGCAAACACTGACCAGAAGGCTGAGAGCTCTTTGACAGTCCATCTCCCACAGAATATTCACTAGATTTTTTTAAATCCTCAAGTGTATGCAAAACATCTGCAGGGCTGAAAATACGAAACAGGAACTGAGAGGGGCAGCAGCTTGTCTGCAGGTGGTCCATATCTCTGGTTTGTAAGGTTTTGTGCTAATAACGTAATAGGTGTTTGCCTTCTTTTGGAGGTGATTTCTGCCTTCAAAGGCACGTTCTTAAATGAGAAAAGTTCTTTGGTTTTATACAGCCCACCAACTACTCTTCTCCCCCTCCAGCTTCACTGACTTTTTGCTCCAGACATCCAACAGGGAGAGCTGTTGTACAGCAGCTACTATCTCGTAACAGCAGCTTAAACCTACACCTTCTTTCTCACCCCTCACAACTTTGGCAGTGGCATCCTACGTGCTCTACATTACCATTGTAAAAATCAAAAGTGCAGTGACCTTAAGGTCCGTGTAAAATACACTGAACCTGATATAAAAATAAACAACAGAAAGAAGAAGTCAGAAATTATTCATGTTTATACTGGAGTAAATAAAACCTTCCGTTTTTAATTCAACTAAATCTGCTGCAGAATTTTCCATTTCATCACCCCAGAATATCACAGAAACCAAAGGGCTCTGCAGTATGATTAAAGTTCAATTTGTCACAGAGTGAAAGACCACAATTGTCTTTACATTACATAATTACAAAAGCTGTGAAACTTCCTAGCTCCACTAAAACGAGGACCTTCCGCATCACTCATACAATGTTTACATTGACAAGAAGTCTTCAAAGAAAACAAGAAACATAAGGAGGAATAGAAGTGAAAGTAATTTACCTGATATCCAGTAAACTTTACTCCAGGGTTGTTTTCTATTTCCCACAGGCCTTCATTAAATCCTTTTCGCTTGTTCGACTTCCCAAACTTATCTTTATATTCTTTATATGGGAAAAGGTCTTTGGGCCCCAGGAACGCACTGCATTTTAACAAAGGTAACATTCAAAAAAGGACTTAAATTCCTCCTTTTCAAAAAAAAACCCCATTAACAGTGCAAATGTATTCCCTATTCTCTTCTGCTTAATCCAGCATTTCTTTTTCAGTTTTGTTTGTTTGTTTGTTTATTTAACACACTGACTCTGAGTTATCGTTGTGAGTCTGATTTAATGGATTGGCTCACCATCCTGATGTTTGATGTTGCAAAATCATACTGGGTCTCTCTAGAATTAAGTAAAACGAGTCTCATTTATTATATCAACTACTGCTGGGAACTGGCACTTGAACAGTTTATGAAAGGGATTATATGACGTAATTGCCTGCGATAGCAAGGGACCAAACTTCCAATCCTATGAGTTACAAATCCGGAAAGGCCTAAAAATACCATATGAAAAGTTAAAGCATGTTAAGGAGTGCCTAGAACCCATAAGCCAAAACTTATCCCTTGTACTACGGGACAGAAAAAGCAGTGGCATTTATTATTATCTGTATTGCCAGTAAGCCTGGGAGCTTCTTTCTTGGAATAAGCCCCCCACATGCTAGATGCTGTGCAAACACAATAAAAATTCTCTCTTTCCCAAAAAATCTTATAATTTCATATAAGACAAGGAACAATGGGTGAATATAGGCAGATGAGTAATACAAGGAAACAATGAGACACACAGGGTGCTTGTGGCCAAATTGTTTTTCAGACAGCACAGCAAAGGAGGGATCTTGTGCTCTGCTGCTGCGTAAGTCAGCTATGCACCAGGCCAACTGATTTCAGGCACAGGCACCACAATGCAGGGAAAAATAATTACAAAAAAAGAGTGGTGATTTATCCTGCTTTTTCTACATGCTTTACAGTGAAACTCTAACTTCTTATAAAAAACTAAAGAAAGCATAATTTCCTTTTCATTGGGCAACTATATCCAGTGTGTTTACTTTGCTCTGTAAAGCAGTACTGGGATGGCTAAGAGCAAGTTAATTTAAAAACAGTGAAGGCAAAAGAACCCCTTCATTTCTTCATTCCTACATGGAAGACTCTATGTCACCAATGACTGGAGCTAAGCAAGTCACAGTGTCCTTCACTATAATCATTGTCCTACTTTCCTGATGATCTTTGCAATTAACACTAACTCTATGGTCTCCATTACCATGGGATCGCAGAGCTCCACCATTTACAACACATTTATTCTCGTAACATTACCATGAGGTTGGGAAGTTGCCCTTTATTGCAGATGAGCTTCTAAGGCACAGAGATTTGCCTAAGGTAAAACTCAAACTGATAGCAGAGTACAGAGGAAAACCCAACACTTTTCAGTCTCAATCTAATACCTTAATCACAGGATCATATTTCTTCCTTGCTGTAAACATTATTTCAGATTAATGCCTGATTCATGCCCCAATTCTTCCCAGCATTTATGAATGTGCAAGGTTTCATTCACTTAAATCACCCCACCAGCCAAGAAGTTTGCCTGTACAGAGCCAACTGGTGGCTAAAGGCATCAGATGACAAGTCTCTGGGCAAAGAGTTTACTTTTAACTACACAGGAGACAGAATGGTATCCACACTCAGTTGTCTCATTAAGAAATATCTCAATTATATAATTAAAAAGCCAAGAATACATTTCTACCTGAAAGCCAAACAGTGATTTCCAAACTAACAGACATCTCATTAAAATTAAAGGCTACAACAGAGCAAGGGATCTGAATAAATTATTTTATCTATGCTGTTGCTAATACTAGGAGATGTCTCCTTGTTGCCAAAAATACATACAAACAGTTCTAACACAGGAAAAAACTGAATGAAGGAAAACTGTATGAAACCTTAATTTAGCTCAACAGTAATGTATGGAAATGTTTCTACAGCCTTTTATGTACAGTAAACACTGAAAAATTGTCTACATCTTTGTTTGAAATACGTTCATTGCCACTGGGAGAGTATAACAGTTTCCACTGTTCCGCTATAAAACTAAGGAGCTGCAATCTACAGCTCATTTTTAACAGTTACACTTTTTAAATTATTAAGGTAGTAACTACAAACTGTTTTCCTGTTTCAGATGTTACAATGAGATCATGGGCTAACAAAATCCAAAACAAAAGAGACAAGCAGTTTGGGATTCATTCATTTCAGGTTAAAAGTGGTCAGAGTTTTTTTCTCAAAATATTTCTCAAGAAAAATGTTTCCATTAAAAAAAATAATTACAATTTGGTTTCTAATTTTAAAGCATCATAAGTTTATTTGAACTTTATTCTTTTTAGATTATTTTGTGACAGTAGTAGTAGATCACAATGTATCAAAATATCAAGTTGTTTCATTACAGTAATAGGAAGAAATATTTTAACTAAAGAGAGGCTATTTTGATCTTTATTAAGCAGAAACTGCATTTAAAGATTTTTTAAATAAAACGTGATCTATGAGCTAAGGGGCTTATTATGTTCTGGAATAATATTAAAATTCAAAAATAAACAATAAATTTTTATAAAGATTCAAACCTCTAAAACTGAATTTAAAATGTAATCAGAATTTCATTTTTCCATTTTTTAAGGAATTCCAGAAAGCATGTTCCCTGCAAGTGGGGAAGGAAAAGTTTCAAAATGTAAACATTTCATACAAAATGGAAACTGTGATTTTATTTATTTTTTAGCTACCTCAGACATAGTTTAAAATAGAGACATGTACATTATAATTTTGAAACTCTGACCTTTGCAGCAATTGCTACAAGACATAACTTACCCTTTCTGCTCTGATCCCTTTCTTTCCCTGTGAGCTCAGCCAGCTCAGTTCTTCTACCACTTCTGAGAGCTCCATCCTACAATATCCCCAGCACAAGTCTTACAGGAACGTACATAGGAGATTTTAAAGCTATGTGAGGACTGCGTGAGACTCTGGGGTATTCTTCCTTTCGTTTTACAAACTAGCAAGCGAGTTCTCCCACAGGACATGAACCCAAATGTGTCCGGATACAGCAGCCTGATCACTGCTATCATGCACATCCAAGTAAAAATTTTTTACCCCTGCATCTGAGTTCAGATGACTCTTTAATAAATTTATGCCAACACTTTTCTTTACGGGAAACACAGGCATTGGTTATTACTTATGCTTAGACCATGCTCTACCATCCACACAGCAGCGTTCCCACCTACTTTCAGGTTTCACTTCCATGTGTTAATACAAATGAGCTGGGCTCATAGGATGTATCGCTAGGCTCCCAAGGACTTCAGTCACGATTTGTTCCAACAAAATCAGTGGAAATGATGTTTGCTGCAGTGGAGGAAGACATTTTCAAAGGAAAAGATCATGTTCATTCACTTACGTTTCATGAGTCCCGAAAAAGAAGATGGGGTATTTATTTGCTGGAGGCTTCACGGCTCCTTCAGGGAGTTCATCAATCTGTGAGACAGAAATGGAAAAAGGATTATTCCCAAATGTGGTGTCCCTCATCCAAGAATCCCTACCAAGCCAAGCCATGGAAGTGCTAGTGCAGGTATCCCGCAGCCCTGGGAGGTTCCACTGTGTGCTGGGGTGGGGAAGGGAAGATGGCTGCTGATTTTTCAGGCAGGCAGGTCATACAAAGTCAGCATATGACCAAAACAGAGAGATAACAGAAGACCAAGGAGCAGACAAAAAGTTTTGACGATTTCATGGGCATTATAATAAGCAAAGGCAATAAAATCAAGTCTGCTTAATTTAAGTGTTAACTTCAGATGCTGCCTCATCAAAGGCACCAGAGCCCAGAGGGTAATCCTGTCTGTCTCATACAGCCACCTAAATAACTTCTGCAACAAATGGGGAACAGATGGTATATCTGAGACTCTGCAGCCGGAAAACCGGACAATATCCCATCGGTGCTTCCTGGTGGTGATGGTGGTACGCAGTGTAAAATGCATAACACATGCCAGGGAGGTGGGCCTGGGACTCTCCTTCCCCTGCAGCATCCTAATAACTGTTTTTGGTCACCACTCCCCTCTCTACTCCATCTCTTCTTTCACATTTTATCCCTGGCCTCGTATCTCTCAAGATACAGCTGCAGAGCAGCTAAAGGAGGGATGGTGAGGGTGTTCTCCTGAGGTATAGCCAGGACTGGGACAAACCCCTCAGGCTAAGCAGAGCCTACTCCCCATCTTCTTGATGTCTGAGTGACAGTGTTAGTCGCGAGGCAGGAGGTTAGGCCCATGACTTAGTCTTATCATATCTAATTTTTCAGTCCTTTGCAACAGAAATAACGGAGTCCAGGTGCCTACCCACAAAAACCAGAAACACAGCACAGCTTTAAATAAGATCTAAATGCCTGCCTTCCCAGAAATGGCACTTTTAAGCATATGTGGGCATCTAAAATTAAGCATCCAGAGAACTCTCAGGTTAAGAGGGAGCCCAATGAATCTAGATATCTATAGGGCAACACCAGAGAGCAGGTGAATGGCTTGCTGCCTGGGTCTTAGGCAACTCAATCTCAACATAAGCATATTGAACCCTGCCAAATGTCACTGGAACTGAAAGCGAAGCGCTGACATACCAATGCTATATGAAATCTGCTCTTCAGCAGAGCAAGGGGATGGAACCTGCATGTTTTCACTCAGGAGGCCAGGCCCACATGTGCTTTCCTTCTCTCTTCCTGCCGAAGGACCCCAAACACTGAATTCTTGTTGAGTAATAAACACCAGATTGTTTTCAAAGGATGTTCTCTTTCACTGTAAAGCATCTGCTGGCTACGTAGCTCTCAAAGGAGTATAAGCTTTTATAAGAATTCAAGTCCTTTTGGTCTTTCTGCAAGGACACCCGTTGGGGACAGAGAAACCAGAGCCACATGTGGAGCTGTAACATGGCAGGACTCCTTTCTGCAAAAGAAATGGATGCCTATCTTTTAGGTCTAAGTGGAGCATTCTCTTGAAGCTACGCCAAAATCAGGGGATATAAGAGCACTTCCAAACCATTGCTTGTCTCTTTTCTATGGGACGACTCAGGGGTGTGGATGGCGGGGCTCTGGCAGGCTGGGCCATGTGTCACCATGCACTCACTGCCCAGCATGGTCTGCAGGAGTCAGTCCGTGATGATCAGAGGTGTCACAAACCTTGCGGGCACAGCAATTACCCAACTTCTTTTACATAACAAAGCTACTGAATTGATAAATAAAAGGAGAATCTATTATTTAAATGCACATAGAAGGAAGATACGCACTAGTGGAAGATGGAAGCTTGCATTCACTTTTAGCTCAGCTGTGTGTAAGGAGGAACTGAAACGACATGACAGGCTGTTCAGTGCCCCCTTCATCAGCAGCAATACATAGGGGAAAGATGGCCAAAGATACTTTTTTTGAACTCATTATTTTCTGACATTAACTATTGTTTTTAAATAAGTGCCCATAATGTGGTTATTCGCTCACTAATTCATGATTTTAAATACAGATATTAGACTGTAACAGGGATAAAAACACTGCAGGGGAAAAACACCGCAACTCACTTTGCAAACTGATAGCAGGTCAGGGAGATAGTATGTCCCACTCTGCAACACATTTTATGCCTCCTTAAAGATGGAAGTATCTATGCGTCAGACCAAAAAAGGCTGTGCTGGCAGTTTACCAAGTACAGGGGTAATACACCTCAACGGTCTGGGTGCCACAGCCATGTCCCTCTTTATTATGACAAGGAAGATGTCCAGAGAGATACTAGACCCCAGAAAAATGTGGACTCCTGTGACCGAGATGAACAATGCCTGCTGGGACCTGAGTGCAAATCTCATTTGGCCGCTTGAAACGCGGCGCCAGCTCTGGGCCGCATTACAGAACAGCGCAGTCCAGTTACTGTCTCAGCCCTTTAAGAATTTCTCATGAAATAAAGCAAACAGCTGTAAATGATCAGTAACGCAGAGGAATGAAGACATCGATCAGAAGGGAATGGGGATCTTACATCACACAACGTGCTATGTTCCAAAGCAGTGAGGATCTTCTCCTAAGCAACATTCCAAGGAGAGTTAAGCCTCATGTCATATTCCCAGCACTTCGCACTGTTAGCTGAGGAGCAGCACCAAATCGACAAAGGACAGCACACACATCTGTCATGCAGCTCACCTGCTCCCCATTTTGTGGCACATTTCTTTATTCATCCCAGTATCCCCTCTGACTATGTATCATCACAGGAAACCATAAAAAAGCTTTTTGTAGCTTTCGAAAGTTGGCATACACATACAAACACATGCAGTATAAATCTGCACTAAACAGCTCATGGATACACCGTTAATGCTCCCACTCCAACATTTCACTGTGCAGCTGAGGTCAAGACTTTCCCTGCCTTCACTGGTTTTGCTGTGAGCTCCCCAGCTCTCAGGCGTAGGTTGCTGGTACTGTAATCAGGTTGAATATGAAGTGACAGTGCAATCTTACGGCCATTTAACTTCATGGCAAAAACTCCAGGGAATTTAGTGAAGGATGAGACCCTCTCTGCCATTAGGAAAGATCTCTTCCCTTTTCACCTGTTTCATGCAAATCCCCCACATTAGAGACGGTGAGAGGAGAGCTTTGCGCAGCCCACCCATTCCCAGCAAAACCACCTTAGCCCTCTGAATGCTGAGCCCCTAAGAGCTTATTTAGCTGCAGAACAACCCCAGCACTCCTTGACGATTGCTGCTGTTTTGTAGTAACAGAAAGCAAGCAGTACAGGCAACCATACTGCAGCCCCCTGCCGCTGCACTCAAGTCACAATTTATTCCCATTCTACAAGATATTTTGGTTAAATATGCTGAAGATTTGGATCTGATATTTTTCCCCATATCAGCAAGATCAAAGACATAGAGAGAGGGAGGGAGAGAAAGAGAGCGAGCATGTGAGCACAAGAGGGAGAAAAGCATCACTGCTTCGAACGAGGAACAAAAGAGATAAGTGCACCCATACTAGGACACAGTGTTGTAGTCACAGAAACCTCACTAATGACTAAAGCATCTGTCTATCAGAGAGCCAGACTGCGATTGCATTTTGCTCCTGGAAGGAAACAAACAGATTCTAAAGTACCCCTAAAGTACCCATTATAACCTGCAATCAAACAGGAGATCCATCCCCTCCTGACCCAGAGCTGACAGCAGGATGGAGCTTGCTGCCACAGAAATCAGTGACAGCAGTGCGTGGCGGGCAAATCTGATACGTGCATCAGCAACATCATGGGCAGCCGCTTCAATTATGGCTAAAATTAAAGCAGGTGGTTTCAGATTTCAAGTTTTATCCCCTTTGCTCCCGTTGCTGTCATCTGCTTAATGAATAACAATTGCTTTCTTTTTGCACAACCTCAGCAGAGCTGCACTTCCCAGCATTTGTTTGCCAACCAAGCAGCAGAGCTTTAAAGACGTAACTGTGCTTTTTTTTCGGTAAACAAATGCCAGGCTTCTAGGGTCAGGAACACTGAACAGAAAATTCAGCCTGGACCTCTCAAACCAGAGCAGGGCTTTATCAAATGGTGTTGCTAGGGACTACCAATGTACAAGCAAGAAATCTGTCTCCTTACATTGCAGTTTACAGGCTAGCACGTATATGCAGCCGGAATATTTTGCTCTCAGTGGTGCTGAGTAATTGCTGACTTCTCAGGTAGCATTTCCTACTGGTTCTCACCGGCTGGGTTTGGCACTACTCATACTGCGACACTTCCTTCCCTGTTGCCATCAGGTGAGGGACCCTGGGGAGAGAAGCACTGGCTGGGTGGCTTGGACTGGAGGTGCAGAGCCGTAGCCCTCCCAGGAGAAAGCGCAGAGCTGCCCGCCGAGAACAACAGTGGCTCCCAGAAGCACAAATCATCCCGGTGCCTGCCTGTGGGATAACATGGCATGTTCCAGAGAGGCGGAGGAGCTCCCTGGGAGGGCTGGTGCAAAACCAGAGGAAGCTGCACCCCCGGCTGGGTGTTCTGCTCCGAAGAGCTCTACATTCCCTGCAAAATGGGAAATGCGTCTCTTCGAGACACAGAGAAAACGGCAAGCTTTGTCTCTCTGCTTCTCTATGTAAAGCAGCTTTCTGTGGAGGTTTACGTTACTGCAGCAGTCAAGAAAGGGGCAGTTCTGCCCATCAAGGCGGAAGGGCATCCCAGATGCGTCTTCTTCCACTTGGAGGGACAGCAGGTGTCATGTTGTGTGGCTATCACAAAATCTCTGTGCTGTGGATAAGCTGCTGTTCAGAAGCAGGAATTCCAGGCTGTCAGGGTGGCTTTTGGACCAAACCCTGTTCCATTATATTCCAAGAGAATTTTACACTGAAAAAAAAAAAAGGTATTATGGAAAAATACCTATCAGGTCCACATGTACAGACAAGAAAGCTTCACTTCAGCATGCAGAGATGCCTACGTGGGCATCGAAACCACAAGAACAAGTCCTTTTATTTTGCAAAAAGAGGGAATTAAAACTGCAGAGCAGTAATCACT